GTGTGTGAGTGTGTGCCTGTGTACATTTGTGTGTATGTATCTGTGGGTATATGCCTGTGTGTGCACACATGTGTGTGCCTGTGTGTGGGAGGGGTCAAGGGTTGATGTTGGATGTCTCACTGAATCTAGAGCTCACCAAGTGGCCACTGAGCTCTAAGGACACCCTTGTACCCACGCTGTTACATCTCCATCGTGTGCTCCCCTCCCCCAGGCACGTGGACTGACCGATCCATCTCCCTAGTGTAACTGCATACATTTCTGTGCATTCTAGAATACCTCAATGGGTGGTGGTGGTGCACACCTTTAATTCCAGCACTCAGGAGGCAAAGGCAGGTGGATCTCTGTGAGTTCAAGACCAGAATGGTATAAAGCGAGTTTCAGGACTGCCAGAGCTACACGAAGCTAAAAGAAAAAAAATCCTAATATAAGAATTAAAGGTAGACACTGAAAAATCTCATTCCTCTGTGTCCCAGAGGCTTCCTGAGAAAAATCTGTCTACAAAGATACAGGGAACATATGAGCTGTATGGGTTTTAATGAGATTTCTCTTTTCCTCAATGGGCCATAATTAACCCTTAAAGGTTAAAACTGTTTCCTAATTGCTGTATAGATCTCCAATTATGCACAAATAATGTTTGTGGGCCTTCTGAACCAACTCTTAAACATTTCCTCCCAAAGACTTCTCTACTAAACATTTTCAAGCTTAAAATAAGGTTGATGGTCATCTCAACATGTACAAACTGGACATCTTGACATGTACAAAACTGGTCATCTCGACATGTACAAAACTGATCATCTCAATATGTACAAAACAATGGTCATCTCAACATGCAGAAAAACGGTAACTTATCCAAACACCTACACGTGTAACTTAAGCACTAAGAATATGTGCTATGTAAATGTAAACTGGACAAACTACATGGGGTTGTAAGACCTTCCATGCAGAAACTGTTGGATCTCAAGGGACCTTGGGAGCATTGCCAGCCCAGTCCTTCCTCCGAGGAGGAGGAAGAGCCTGAATCTCCAGCTCGCAGAGGGATGGAGCCAGGATCTGAGCCAGCCCTTCCTTTCTGCTGTAGTGCTTTTGCTCCTCCTCCAGCTGGATATAATCTGCCTAGCAGGACAGACACTCCATTTGGTTGCAACCAAAACAGGACTAGCTTTGAGACAAAGCAGCCTTCATTTGCATTTCACTTCTGGCTTCAAGGCCTCATGCTGCTAAAACTGCCACTGACTCCTTCTTTCTCCAAAGAATGATAGTTATTTTGTTCTTGGGTTTTGATCACAAGATCTTCCTAACTCTCCAGGGATGTGATCCTGTTCAAGATAGCCACACTCTCTGTACTTGTTAACGGTGAGCAAAATGTAAGTTTGAACCCCTAGTGTTAACAGCAGAATTACACTTACAGCATAGGTGATCCATGCAAACTCAACAGTAAAAGGTGATGTCATTACGAGACTGCACACCACTATAGTGAATATTGTAAAACTCAGTCTCTGCCCTGGGGTCTTAATCTTCTGCACAACACTCCTCAGGGCATTTGCAGATGCTCAGGGTTAGGCAGGGGTATGGGTGTCACTTCAGATAGGGGCTACCTATCAGGTCCGAAGACACCCCCTTCCACTGGACTCCTAGTTCTTCTAAAGCTCAATTCCAAGAGAGATGTGTGTGGAGTGCTCCAGAGATCCAGAGAGGAAGCTGAGGGGCTCCTGCTGCTCCTCCTGGGGACTAAGCGTATCCCTTAGCTGAGGGCCACAGCCTCCTCCTGGCTCCTAGAGCATTCTGTACATGTGAGGAAGAACCCCACTGGCCTTGGTGCCTCACCTGTAGCCCAGGGCCAGATTCCCTGCCCTCGTCAGCATGGCAAAGCAGCAGCATGAGCTAGCCCCACGCGCTAGGTTCTGGCTGCTGCATGACTGATGGTGCTGGCTGAGCTTCACAGTCTTCCCAGCCACCCCAGCCCTTTTGGCTATGTCACATATATGGCCTCCTCTGTCCTCCCTTCAAGGTGGAGGTCCCTGCTCCTGCATTGGCTGCAATCCTGGGCCCATTAGGCATCTGTGGAGTTAGGCTCAGTGAGGTAGTTAGTTGTGTCAGACCCACGGTCTTTGACCCTATATTGGCCTTGGTAACCATGGCAGTATTGTACTGTGAGGACATTTTCTGAGCTGGGTCAAGTGGAAGGATGTATGGGCATTTTAGCCCCTATGAAATTTCTAAGCCTGGTCGAAGTCAGCAGTGTATGGGCATCACGATGTCCTCCTGTCATTTCTGAGCCCATGCATACAGAGAATACACGGGTATGTTGGTTCCCATGTCATTACCACACATGGTCATGAAAGGATGGATGGACGTATTGGACCAAATACCATTTCTGAGCTCAGTCAGATGTGAGGTATGTGGGCATGTTGGTCCCATGTCATTTCCAAGTCCCAGTTCTATGGGGGTTGTACAGGCCATGTTGGCTGCCATGTCATTCTCAAATCCAGTCATATTGGAGGGCATGAGGGTATGTGGTACCCAACACCATTTCTGAGCCTGGTCACATGATGGGTATATAGGCATGTGAACTCTATGCCTTTTTAGAGACCAGTTATATGTTGGTGTGTGTGAGCACATTAGCATCATACCATTGTCAAGCATGGTAAAGTGCTGGGGTGTACGGGCATGCTGGAGCCCATGCAACTTCTGAACCTATCATATAATGGGGTTTCTGGCCATGCTGGCTTCTATCCCATGTCTGAGCCTGGTCATATGGGAGAGGGTATGGGCGTATAGGAACCCAACCACTGTGTAGTGGGGCTATGTGGGTATATGCCATTTGTGATCCCTGTCATAAGGGGAGAGCTATGGGCATTTTGGCCCCATGTCATTTTCTATCCCATCACATTGGGGGTACATGTTGGTCTCCACACAATTCCCAGACCTGGTTGTATGTAGGGCTATTCAAGCTCGTTGGCTCCATGACATTTCTGAGACTGGATATATGGAGGAGTGTCTGGGCATGTTGGCCCCCATCTGAGCCTGGTCATACATGTAGGGTATATGATTATGTTGACCCCATGCCATTTCCCAGACCATTCATTTGGGGGGGGGGTGGTATGAGCACGTTAGCCCCATGCCATTGCCAAGCCCAGCCATACAAGGAGGCATCGGGCATGTTGGCTCCCATGCCATTTCAGAGCCCAGTCTTATGGGTAGTGTGTTTCCATATTGTCATTTCCCACCCTGGTCACATGCTGCTGCTGTTTGCGCATGCTGGCCCACGTGCCATTTCTGAGCCCATTATATGAAGATCAGTATGGGCATGTGGGAAAACATACCATTTCCGAGTGGCGTAATATGGGGGTTTGTGGGCCTTGGGATAGAGCGTGTGTAAAAAAGAGTACCTAGGTCACTGGATGGCAGCACTGGCACATGGCAGATGTGTGAACAGGCACGTGCAGGCCTGCACTGGGACATGGCATACATGGGAACAGGTGTGCTCAGATCCCATTTGTTGGCTCTGGAACAGGGCTCATGTGCAAAAATGTGTCTTGGGACACCACAGGCATGTGAACAGGTGTGTCCAAGCCACCATATGGAGGTTGGTGTTGGAACATGGCAGGCATGCTAACACATGCGCCCCGGGCTGCTGATTAGAGGCGTGCTGATTAGAGGCCCTAGAGCACAGCAGGTGTGCTAGCGGGTGTGCCCAGGCTGTCACTTGTCAGTAACAGGACATGGCAGGTGTGCAAACAGGCATGTCAAAGCCAGCACATTGTAGTCCTGGGACATGGTATGTGTATGAGCAAGTGAAGATGGTGAGAAGGTGTCACTGAGTGTCGCCAGCCTAGCCGGTAAGCAACAGGACAGTCTCTTTCTCAGAATACTCACCCTGAGGAGCAGCTCCATGCTGTTCAGTAGGAGGACACACAGAAGTAAGCTAAGTTCTCAGTCAGCAGCCTCCATTGGATGCCAGACACAGGAGTGAGTGCTTAGATGATCCTAATGGGGCTTTCCAGCCACCTGCTTATGACAGGAGACACGGCCCTGTCCCCACCGAAGCCTGGTTGAAGTCCTGGTTAAAGTAAGCGGTATTTTATGGCACTAAATTCTGCAGTGTTTTGTTACATGAGTGTATCAGCTACTTCTTCAATGGGGTGACAGATACCAGACAGAAGCATCCAAAGGGAGGAAGCATTTATTGAGCAGCATGGTTTTAGGGGACAAATCCATCATGGGTGACAGGAGGTGGCTGGTCACATTGTCTACACAGTCAGGAAGCACACAAGGATGAATGCTGTTGCTCAGCTCACTTTGAGAAAGCAGGGGAGGATCCAGGAGCTGGCTGGGTTCATGATCCACGAATTGTCAGGAGCAGTCCTGGGACTCACTAGCAAACCCTGTGAACTCCTCTGGAAGTTCTGAGGGTGGAGGGTCCCGAGTTTCCCTCCCCTCTATAATCCCAGGCAAGCTCACCTGGCACTGGCATTGTTTCTCTGTAGGTTCTAGCCTCCACTTTGTCTGTTTATGGATATATGGATATATATACATATATATATATATATATATATATATATATATGTATATATATCATTTAGATTTTAAATTCATTATGTAAGAAATACCCAAGCCATAGTTCCAAAGGTGACATCTATTACTTTCACAGAAATCAAGTCAGTGTTCAGTTCTGGTTTGTCATGGTAACTCTGTGATGACCAGGACTCTGGGCTACTTCGGTTACTGTGCTACGAGTCTCAGTCATGGTCTCTACTCATGGTGCAGTATGGTTGCTGGGGCTCTTGCCACCATGTCAGCATTGCAGAAGGATAAAAGAAAGAAATAGGCAAAGAGGAGCACATGCCATTCCCAAAGTCACATCCTATAAGTTGTTGTATGACCTACTGGATGAACTCAAATCATCTAGCTGTAAGTAGCTGGAAGGCACAGAAGGTCGTGCATGAAATCAGAGATCTGAGGAAGATCCAGCAATCCTGGAAGACAGCAAGCTGTCATTGTCATATGGCATATCCAGAGTGGAAGGTTCCAGATGTGACGCCTGGAGATTGGACCCTGTGTTCCCCTTCTTGGCCCTGGCTCCAGCTTCGACCCTGGATGTCCCCTTTGGAGCAATGCAGGGAGCAGGTGCACATGTCCCCTGGCATCTCAAGCAGGGACAGAATCATTTTGATGATGAGGGCCAGCCAGGCCATCCCAAAAAGGATCCATAGGGACACGATGTTCTTGTACCACAAAGGGTACTTGCGAGATGGGTCCATCCCTGGGAAAAGGCAAGGCCAGAGGAGGTGGGGGCTGGATGGAAACTGGAGGCCTGAGTGATTGGTGAGTTTAGTGGAATGCAGGAAGCCCACATACTTGACATTCCCCATCTGGCTGCCACTCTGAGATCCCAGGAAGCCTCTCAGGATTCACTGGCACTTTATATCTGGAGATTAATCTTTTCTAGAATTTCTCAAAGTGCTGTCCCCAGGCTAGCTCCATTGCTGCCACTTGAGAGCCTATTGTAAAAGCAGGTGACTGAACTCACCTGGCCTGGTGAATAGAAATCTCTGGGTGCCTTGTAGGCTACAGTTTTCCAAGACTCCAGGAAAGGCACTGCTTGTTCCATTTTCTGTGTTTAGCTTTTATTTTGTGTTTATTAAAAATAGTTTTAAGATTTATTTTTATGTGTATGGATGCTTTGCTTACATGTATGTCTATGTACTGTGTGCATGTCTGGTGCCTGGGGGTCAGATCCCCTGGAACTGGAGTTTCAGATGGTTGTGAGCCACCATGTGGTTGCTGGGAATTGAACCTGTGTCTTCTGCAAGAGCAGCCAGTGCTCTTCCCCACTGAGCCACCTCTCCAGCCCCTGTTTAGTTATTTGTGAGACAGGGTCTCATGTAGTCCTATTTGGCTGTGATCCTCCCGGCCTCCACTTCCTGAATGCTGGGACTGTAGGTATGAACCACCACACCCAGTTCTGTAGTGCTGGGATCAAGCCCAGGACCTCCAGCATGCTAGGCGAGTGCTTCTCCTATGCTCTACCTGCCTCATTATTGTCTAGGTTGAAATGGGGCAAGTTGTATGGAGCCAGGGAGTTTAGAAGGATGGAGATAAGGATAGGATGAAGAAGGATAGGAACCTCAGTTCCTAGCAGCTATGACTGTCATCTGAGCACTCCCATGTGGGACAAGGGAAGGCAGCCCCTCCAACCCCCATCCCCATACATTTGACTTTAGAAACTAGCCAAGGCCTGACTTTCCGACCTGCTTAACTTGTCCAGCGTTTGCCTCTCTCTATTGTTGCCATTTTTCCCTGTTTCTCAGCTCCCCATGGCTCCCTCAGCTCCCCATGGCTCTTTATTTCCAGCTGCTCTTGACCTGTTCTTTTTCAGATGTCCCTCCTTGGAGGATAGCCCCTGTCACACTCTTGAAGCCTGAGTGTCTTGGCTAACAAAAGAAGCTTTTCACAGCCTAAAGCCTCAGGGTGCAGGACACTCCCAAGACCTGGAGCTGTTCCTTGTGGCTTGCCCTGGAGACCCTGACATACTGGGTCAGTGGTGGCTGAGGAAAGGGACAGAAGGGTCACCTGGAACCTTAGCTGACTCCTGTCATAGGCCCACTCTGCAGTGGGCTCCTCCTCTCTCTGCTTCCCAAGGACCTGGCCTGCCTTGCCCACCAGACTGGGAGCACTTTACAGTGTGGATCTCACAGCCTTTCCTGCCTTGGGCCATCCGCCATCCTGTCCTGCTGGCCCCACATCAGACCCGGCCTGTGTCACAGGCTCTGGCTGGCAACCCAAATTAAGCTGATAGAGTTATGAGATTGACTATTTGATTCCTCTGTGGTACCAAATGAGGTCAGTGGAGTTTTTACTACTGGGTACAGAAGCCATGAGGCCCTTTCTCCCGTTGATTTATTTTTTGGCACAAGTGTCGAAAGCTGGCAAAGGGCTCCACTGAACAGTTAATGTAATTGTGGGTGAGGGCTGGTGGAGAAGATTGTGGCTGGGGTTTGGGTGGCTCCTGCTACCAGCTGCAGGCAGGGACAATAACAACCCTGTGTGTGTGTGTGTGTGTGTGTGTGTGTGTGTGTGTGTGTTTAGGGGAGCAGCATTCCACCAAGAAAGCAGTTGGTCCATCTCTAAAGAACAGGGAGAACTGAGGTTGGGAGAAGAGGTATGGAGATTTTCAGAACAAGTGTGATTGGCCTTAGGCACTCACTGCCCTTCTCCAGGCCTCAGTTTCTCCACATATTTAAGCCAGAGGCCTTGCAGATGAAGGAGCCAGGGGCCTCTCTGTGTGCGAAGGTGCAGAGGTAATGAGGACCACAGCACACAGCTCTGCTCTCCCAGCAGCCCTTCTGGCACCCAGGACTTTGGACTGGGCTCAGGGCAGGGAGCTTTAGAGAAAGAGGCCGAGCAGGCTGTCCTGCCCATTCACAGAGCAGCTTCCTAGGCAGGAACTCTGCCAGCAACCTCACTCCTATGTCGGGTCTCTGCCCTTCCTGGGGGCTGGCTGATGCTTTTCCTCCCATTTCCGGTGTGTCCATGTCTAGAGAATGCTGCCTAGTTGGAGAACTAGCTTGTTTTTGAGATGGGATCTTCTGATGTAGACCCGTCTTTGAACTTTCGATGCTCCTGTCTCTGCCCTCTTAAACACTGGGATGGCGGGATGAGCCACACAACTGTGTTTAGTTGTGTAGATTGAATTTCATCCAAAGACTGTGGGAAATCCCTTTAAGGTTCAAAGAAGCTAGGCATGGTTTATGACCCAAAGTGCCAAGGGGGTGAGAGCAGATAGCACATGCCCCCCTGAGTGCTAAGCTTCATTGTGCTGTGCCCAACCTGTGCAGCTTCCGGTGACAGTCCAGGGCTGATGGAGGAGACAGCAATGGGAAGAGAGTGCTGCTGGCTGTAGCTCACTTCAGACACATGTTGGGATGGGATAGGCATCTGACCTAATCTATCCAAGTCACTTCTTCCTGAGCCACAGGCTGGGGAAGACCAGGCTGGGACAGCAGGAGCCTGGATATGAGACCCTCCCTGAAGGCAGAGACCTTGGACCCAGAGGCCAGAAAGCAGTGATGGGGTCCCCAGCAAGCCCCAAGCTGGATCCTTTTCTTTACAATTAGGAATACTGAGGCCCAGAGAAGGTTCTTGAATAGCTTGAATTGTGGGAACAAACAGATTAGAAGGGGTATCCCATTGAGCTGCCTCAGGCAAATGGTTTGACCTCTTTGAATTTCAGCTTCCTTTTTGGTAAAATGGGGGTGACACTCATTCTGGATTGCAGGCTGAGTGTCTTGTTGGAGCTTGTCTCAACAGTCCACTGAAGGAGTGTGGGGAGGCCCTGCTGTGGAGGACTATTCTCTGAGCCAACTGCCACCATCTTCATCAGGTCAGCCGGACCCACTTGGAAAAGATGGTCACAGGTGGACTGCTGACCTTGTGGACTGCTGACCTTCCCTCTAAGAAGTGGGGGGGTGGGAAGGGACGAGCCATCGAACCCTCACCTGAGTATCCAATCATTCCTCCCAGCCAGTTGTATGCAATTCTGCCCTAACTGCAAGTGGTCCAGGTCTTGAGAAGAGTGGGAGTCTACAGACTGGGAAGGACCAGGGAAGAGGCTCCATCTATGTAGCCATGGAGAAGTCACCATCCATGCTGGGTGAAAACTTTCCAGTGCAGATACTTTAGGGTCACCATGCTCTTACCTGTGACCCCTCACCCATGCTCAGTAAATACAAGGATTCCCTGAGGGACTTCAGTGGAAGCAAACTGATTTGTCATTAGGACCTTAGGAAGAGTGGGGAGACATGCTTAGTCCCCTAGCTCCCACCCCAGGAGAAAATTTCCATGACAGGCTCTCTCCTCATCCCAGGACCATGGCCTACTGGAGGGTATGGTGTCCCCAAGACTTCCCCAGGGGAGTGAAGGAATCTGTGGCCTTTACTGTTTTTTTCAGTGCCAGAAGGAGAGAGACAGACAGACACAGAAAGAAAGGCAGACACACACACACACACACACACACACACACACACACACACAGAGAGAGAGAGAGAGAGAGAGACAGAGACAGAGACAGAGACAGAGACAGAGACAGAGATGCTGAGGTTTTCTGGAGCCACTGCCCCTCCATTGCCACTGTCTTCACAGCCTCCGCTGTCTCCTGAAGTCTCAGCTGTCTCTGGGGTGCTTGCACAGCACTAATGGACCCCATTGGAGCCTTCTTGGCAGGCTTCTAGCATGGCTGTCACTTCCTTCTGAGGCCAAAGGGAGGTATACTGAGTTTCCTGATTGTTCTGCCTGGTTCCTCAC